TTGGGACCAGAGAAAATTCTTAATTTATTGATGTTATTAATTTATCAATTATTAATTTATAGATGCTCTACTGTATCTATAAAAGAACTAAGACGAATTCCCATCTCTCCTTATAACACAAAATCTTAGTTATCATTTTTTTTCTTTCAACAGTTTGAATGAAAAAATCATTTAAAGAAATACAAATGAATTGGTTTAACTGATACATTATTTATTAACAGGATTTTTGCAATACAAAGAATGAAAAATCCAGAGGGGTGTAATTCTAAAAGTCCACTGCTTATAAATAAGGAAATGTACTAACATGACCGTGTAAGTTTGCACAAACTTATTCACAAGAGTAGTTATTGTTAGTCTATATACATTTTTATAATACTATAAATATATTTTAGAAAAAAACAACTTAAGTTTTTAGTCATGTATAGGAAAAATATGTTTTTCTTTTCAATTAAAATATGACATTAATGTTTTTTCTGATCAACTTTTAGTACTGGTGGACCACCACTAGTCATATTCTGATGTATCTTTATTACTCGATGAATTTTTTTTATTTTATTTTTTATACATACATTTTGGTCCATGTTAATTACTTTACATGTGAAATGGTGCTTACTCAATCAGGAGAAAAATATATCTTAGTATTGTTCATTATATTGATCCTTATTGAAAAATATTTTTATAAAAATTCAGTTTTAATTTATGTATCGCACACAACGTGAGGGTGTAACATCTTGTTAGAATAATACAGGAAATCTCCAAGTCACGAATAAAATTTCATATTCTTCTTGTTGTCCCAAAATGATTGTCTTGGTTTAACTTTTAATTTTATTATAAACTGTGTACTATTAAAAATGAAAATTTAAACATCCAAACAAGTCTGCAACTGACGCACAAAAACACCGACAGGGTAATGGAATTATGGAATCAACCTTCTTTTAACAAAAAAAATAAAAATGAAAATACAAACAAGGACGTCATTTTTATGACGGAGGAAACAATAATTTTTTTTACTCAATAAAAATAATTCATAGATGCAAAACTTCAAGTCAAAAACGAGACCAAGATCCATTTAGCATTACATTAGAAGAATAGTTTCAAATAGAGACGTAACACTAACCAGAAAGCAGGAAATACATCCTAATACATTAACATGATAAGTTAAGAAATGACAGTAAAATAAAGGATTGAGGAGCCTTTATGACGAAGTGCAAGACCAAAGAGAACTTGCCCGTTTGGTAAGATGTGGTTAATTGGTGTGAAGAAAAACAAAGGGGAAGGAGACGAATGGTTGAAGGCCGGAGGGTAGGAATTCGTTGAGATGAAGCCAAGGAGGCGGAGAATTCTAAATGTTGAAAAGTAAGAGAAACAAATAAGTACAGAACACTAATGACATTAAAGAGGTGGAGGTTTTTCTTATTAAGTTATCATGTAAAAGAAATATAAATTGACCAGCCAATCAATTTTATTTGTCTTCATGACATGATTGCACCTTGTTGCCGCTATTAAAAAAAAATTGATATTATCAAATATATAAGTTAGGATCACCTATGGTGATTTTCCAGGACTCTAAATGACGAACATGACAAAAAGGTAATCCATGATTTTCGCGATGATCAACATGATACCGAGAAAACCTTTGTAATTCAAACAGTGAAGGATGAAGTTGGGCCAATCCGAATGATCGCGCAGGTACAAGCTTTATATCATTCATCTTTAGTTTATCTGATCGTTAGTGTATAAACTTGAAGTGTAGAAATGCCCCTTAGTACAACTGTGTGAGAGAAATGAGAATTTATCAGATCTTTCCATAAACAACTTATGCATGTCATGTCATCTGATTTTTGTTGACTGGTAGAGAAAGTTTTACTTGACATGCCACTAGTAAAGTTGTGTAACAGTTAAAGTGGTTCATTCGCAAAATTCAACAAATCGTCAAAGATTTGTGGGAGAGCAAACATAAGTTTAAAACTTACGTGTGACTTTATCACAATCCATACAAATTTCCATTTCCGATTACATTCTACACATATGTGAAACTCTATTGTATCACATTCTAAAGATACATATGGTAATATTCATGTCCGTATCGTTGCACATATAGGATTTGCTTTCAAGACTGTCCGTAATTTTTGTGGATGCTCATGCATGCGCACAAAGACGATGATAACAACCCCCTGAAAGAGGGTGATATCTTTTTGGCAAGGAACTCAAGGGAGCTGGAGATCATTTAGATGCATACCATAGATAACGCCTATTATAATCCAAACCCCAAAACACTGATCTGATTAAATTTTTCTTTACATACCAAAAAGCAATCAAGAAAGCAATCCATTTTTCTGAATCCTTATAAATCACCTCTCTTTTTGATCAATCTTCCATAACTCCAGAAAAAGTTTGGGTCATGGTTGCGCGCCTTCAATTTATGGGAAGCGCGGATATATATTGGTTGGTGTTGGGGATGGTGCTGTACGAGTTGTCGGCTGGTAACGAGGGAGGTTTTCGTGTGTTGGCGGTGGTGGAAGTACTGCTAATTGGGACAAGAGAAAAGCAAAAGAAGTGCTAGTTTTAGTGGCTGATGTAGGGGATGGTAGGTGGTAAGGGAAGAAGGTTACATTGTCAAAATGAGGAAAGAGAGAAAATGTGAAAACCCCAGAGCTCACTGATATTTAAGAACCAGAACCAGCAAAAGGATCTTCACAAAAGACCAACTATTCCAGCTGTGTGCCTAATTGGACCAAATTCATTTTTACCTTTCATTAGTTTTGGTCCTTGTCACGGTTTTCACATACACACCCAAACGTACAACGGTTATACAACCGAAGATAGTTATTGGCTAATTAGCTGCTAACTTTTTCGCCTTGCAACACACCTAACTGATGCCATACTTGTGTAGATGGAGCAAACATTTGATGGGTAGGAACTGGGAACTGGGAGTTGACCAAATTTTTAACTTTTTCCAAATGATGTATGCTATTGAAATATATACAGAATTTTTGAAGCGACAAGTATTCCTAATTCCACCCAAAACCAAAGAATGAGATGAGGGGAGAGGATGGAATATAGAGCAAAAACTGCAATGGTAGAGAAGCTTTATGTATATTGTCAGAGCAGGATATTTCAATTTCTTCATTTTTCTTTGAACTTGCATGTCATGGCAAAGGCTAAGAGTTTGATTCTGAGTAACCTTTTGAGCTTGAGTGATCCAACATCGTTCTTACTAATCAAAACCAACGACTCACTCATACAATCAGAAACACTATCAGTTTTCATCTCCAAATTTGAACAGCTCAGAAACCAAGCAACTATAAGTTTACGGTGGTTAATTTTTAAGTCAAACTAAGGTAAGTGTTTGAATCAAGGAGCTTATTCCGTAATCATCCAATTTGAACTTGATAAATGTTCTATTGCAGACTTCTGCGAATGAAGAATCAGGGATCGGAGTGTTCTTACAAATGCTAATGCTCGTGAAGAATTTTTAAGAGCTAGCGATTGTTGGAAAGTCCTTCTAACCCTACAAGATTCTACCAGGGGAAAAATTGGGTAAATTGGAGTGAATTTACATTTTACATGTATATAACTTATTGATTAAGAATCAGTACTTGTTGCTGACAGTCCTAATCCTACAGTTTACTCGAAGGATGTTCAATTCCGCAATGCCTATTGAGAGAAGTAACATTGGATGAGGTTGGCGTGGATTCCAATATTTTCTGCTTCAGCGAATGATGAGGCTCCATCTATACTAATTAATCGAGATGCAAATTTGTTCCAAAACTACACTTCTCTACTGTACCTCAAAAAGCGGTACCAAAATAACTCGTAATTCAGCAAAAGCAAAAGTAAGAGCAAGAACGGTGGAACCAGACTCTATAATTGAGGGAGAAGAGAACCAGGAAATTCATAATTTTTTTGCAATGACCATTTCATGACATTGTAAAACGCGATGCGAAAGAAAATGAAAATAGTGAATGATGAAATTGAGACCAACCGTGAACTATTGGTTGCCAATGACATAGAACTTCTGCAGAATTTGAGAGATTTTGAGTTCATCAATACTTGAGATATTTATAGTCTAGCTATTAGAGAGAAATGAATTAATTTTCCAGACATCCATACACTACAAGAAAAATGGCTTTTGGCGGCACGCAATGTATGCCGCGAAAAGTAGAGAAAGTGCCACGAATACCATTGCGACAGAAATTACGGCATGTCACAAAGTGACGCGATAAGTGTGGTCGCAAATATTTGCGACACTTAAAAACATGTGTCTCGCGACATATGCAACACTTATGCGTCAATATAAACACGTCGCATTAAATTCGCGACACATCTTGTGTCGTTTTTTATTCCATGTCGCGATATGATTGCGACATTTTGTTTGCGTCGATTGAGTACTGCCGCATAATTGATGCGACATATTTAGCATCACCTTTCGAATGTGCATCAAAGTTCCGCGACACAAATTTGAAAAAGTCACATAATTTTAGTGACACAACCCTTTAAATGTCGGATGTTTACTGCGGCAAAATATTTATGTTGGTAAGTAAAGTGCCACAGAAAATAATTTGCGACACAAGTTTTGATGTCATTACTAGATGTCATGCGGCACAAAAAATATGACGCATTTTTTGAGGCATTATTTGGGGTATTATTTTGTATATATTTTATTATTTTATGCTGATATATAATGTATTGTACAACCAATTTTTTTGAATCGCATTACAACCCTTATTTTGGAATAGCATTTATTTTTTACAACATTTAAAGTTAAAGTGTTTGTGGAACCCAATAAAAATAAGCATAATATTATTGTCGAATAAATTTTTAAGAGCAAAATAGAAATTCGCTAAAAGAAAAAAAAAAGATTAGCATCCCATATAAACTTAAATGGAAAGTAACTAAGTCAAAAAAAATTAAAATCCCACAAAAACTACATATCATCGTTACAAAATGTTCTTTCAATTCAAACATAGAAAACTAGTAAATTTTTGAAAGCTTCATCATCATGTAACCTTTTGAATTTCCTGCAAAAACGAACCAAAAAAAAAGAGAGAAAAACTAACTAATTTGTATTTATCACAAAATCGCATGCTTGTTTTTGTTTTTGTTTGGCAAGAAATTAATAGAAGTTACCTTATCATGTAGCTAGGCGCTTGGAGACCCTTCTAGCTTTCTTACATTCCTAATGAGTTTCAATAATATGAGCTCATTTAGACACATATAATGATGAAAAACTCGAGAAAAAAAAATTGTTTTCGTAAAGCTAAAAATGTATGTTACCATAGTGGAAGTAGCATCTGAACGAATCAATGGAGGATTATCATCTTTAGATTGATTTATCTCTTTGCTCACCTAATCAAAAGATAAAAAAATGTAATGAAGAATAAAATAATTTATAATTGAATGTAATACAACTTTTCATTAACGTACCTTAGTAGATTCATTTGTTTGGCCATTATTTGATGACTTTCCTAATCCATGCAAAGGTTCTTTCAAAGCAATTTTGTGCTGGGAATTAGAAGACTCTTGTACCTAAGACATTTTTATGTCGCAAAGGTAAATACAATATATTTTTCTTGTAATAATTTTTGTAAAGTGAACTCAAACCTGGGTATTTGGACTGCCAAAGCTAGAAGATTGATCCTGCATCATTGTTTTCATTTCGGCAAGCCAATCATCTTTCATTTTGGATAATCTTTCATCCATCTCATTCTGCAATTTAATCTCCAAATCGTGTTGAATGCTTGCAACTCTCTCATCGACTGCTCGATCAAATTCTTGTTGAAAGGTGAACACTTTCTTACTTTTTGAAGCAATCTTACAGCTGCGTAGGCATCCTGGAGCATCTTTTCTAATGACGTCTTCAAAAATTTTATTATTAGCCTCAATATCATCTTGAAACTCAGGTGGCAATTGTTGCTTCAACGCCTTTAAGGTGGCCTGGTATTTCATAAAGATATAAAATAAAATTATGTAAGAAAAGGAAATAATTATGAATAAGATTGAGAATAATGAATAAGTACGGAGCATTTCATTGATTAATCACTTCTACTTCAGATATTTACTATTTTTTGAGAAATAAACTCGTCCAATGGTTGTCCTTTTTTCCTTCTCTTGATTGGATGAATACATCTATCGTGGATGGTTTTTTCCCATTATTTTGACAAATCTAACAATGAATTTAGATTAAAAGCAAGTTAAGAAAGTATCATAACCAAAAATTAACTTTAATAATAGAAGTATGGAAAGACCATACTTGATTTTGAAGATTATAGGTATCCGTTCTCCCCTGTCTATGTGGCATTTGCAACTCTTTCCGGTTCCTTTTATTTCTATTGCTAATTTTCTACAATTCAATAAAACAAGGGGGTGAAGTTTATGTATATAGTTCCCAGATTCAATATAAATCTACATATATATAAAAACATGAAAAATTCAGTACGTCATACTAACCCTTGCTCTCTTGGAAAGCCAATAGTTAACAAATGCAGGCCATTGATCCTCTTCAATTCTTCCTGGGCGATTAGCTAGTAAGTAGGTTTTTGTCTCACCTGTGTGGTCGAAAGTACTTTTCTTTTGTTCTCATTTTAAAATCATTCCAAAGCTTGCCAACCCTCCGCAAACATGTCTTCTTATAAATATCGATAAGATTTGTGTTCTCCTAGAATGACAACATTACATTTACCATAAAATTATAATTAAATATATTGGAAGATATATATATATATATATATATATATCAAAGGTATATATCGATCTCGAAGTCATATATAGATAAACAAATGCTTGAAAATGGCCACATTACTTAAGAATTTAAAACAAAGTAACTTAAATCTGACACAATACCTTCACTTCAGCCCACACATCATCTTTCACTGGCTTAGGCAATGCACGCCAATCTGTGTAAATGAGGGGTAACTTTTTCCTTCTTTAGCTAAAATCCCCAATTGAGTCCCAAATTCAACAGCCATGCTTCCAACCACTTGGTTATCATCATTCAGTTCCAATATCATTTTCTCACCAGTTCCCCATCGAAATCCCTGCCTTGTTGGGCCTCTTCCAATTGTATCTATCAATCATATAAAATACATCTAAGAAAACATATATATATATATATAGGTGTATAAAATATTAATTATTTTTAATATACAACAAACATAACGTTTCTGGGAGGGACAGTATTTCTCAATCTTTATTTAGAAACACATACCTTCTTCTAGTTGATCATTGTTGTTTTAGCATTTGACTCATCATCACTATCATCTTCAGATGATTCAGAGGTGTGCAAAGATTCAGAATCAGTAGATGAAGCAGAATTGAGAGAGTTAGAACCGTTGGAGTTATTTTCTTGGTTATGAGATCTACTTCTTGGTGGCTCATTTAATAGATCAAGCATTGATCCAATTGCACATTGAGATTTCTTTCTGGATGACACCATTATAACTACAAATAATAGAACAGATATTTTAAATCATACACCAAAATAAGCAAATATTTATCAACTATAAAAAAAATTGCCACAAAGCATACTTGCACTATATTGGTTTCCCAATGATGTAAAATGCCTAACTCATTGAGCAACTTGCATCCACGTGGGTAGCTTTAGACATTTGAAGAATGGTTTTCATATCTAAGTGAATCCCTTGTCATTCATGTAACTATCTCAGTAAACATTCCAATTTAACAAATCTTATTTAAATAGCAGACTCTATACATTCTCATGAGTAAAAGAACCTAGCAGGTAAAATCCAGGTAGAGATGGCTAAAGTTTAAAACAACAATGGCTAAAGTTTCACTTGTATTGTGAATTTCGTATGTCAGCACCTTGTGACGATTTATGCTTGCTAGTAAAAAAAAAATCAATTTTCAATAACAAGGAAGCAAATAGGACATATGATAATATCCAAAAGTCACAAAGCACAATGATTATACAACCCTAAAACAAGTATTGAAAAAGAACATGTAAATTTGGATCTCTACATATATAAATCAATACGATTACCTTACACGAACGGAAAAAATTTCCCCAAAATAGATCGGAGCACTCTTTCCCGGAGTCAGAAAACTTAGAATGGCATGGATAGACTTGTAGAAATAATTCCCCGGAACAATCAAATGAAGAAAGGATCTTTGTACTTTAAAATATATAGATGAGAAGTATAAAGTAGAAAATCCCCCGTGATAATTTTCTTGTATTCCAGCTTATTGATTTCCTTGTTAATCTCCTTCATTACACTAATATAGATTTTACTTAAAGCTGGTGGGTGAGGTTTTTAACCAGTGAAATTAATATTGAATGCTTTGTAGGCGCCTTGTCTCTTTGATATGAGTGCTGATAATTAATTTGAAGTTCAAGCAAAGTAATAGTTGTCTTGTAATTAGAAGGAAATACTAATAGATTTAGCGGGAACGCTAAGATGGAATGTTGACAAAAAGAATTGAATTAAAATCCTTTGACTTGTTAATTACTTGGCTACAATTATTGAGTCCCGGAGTTGTATACTACACTTTTCATATGTTTCTTTATTGAATGAAAAATCACTCTACATTTGTCAAAATATAACTAATTTCAAGGGCAGTCCTACTTGTTTTTATGACAATTCGAAATGTGGCGAACAAGTCCCTTATTTTAATTGTTTGACAATAGTAACTAATTGAGGATTATTAACAAAAGTAACTATCCACCGTCAAATATAATTTCAAATACATTGTTGACAGTAGTAATTATTAATTGCTAGTAACTTACATATCCTAACTGTAAATTGTATTTATTTTTAGTATTTCTTTAATCATATAAAGTCTGTCAGCATATCTTTGATTTACTAGACGTGTATTATCTGTCAGTAAATCTTGATCTAGTAGGCGTTGTTATTCTGTCAATAGATCTCATTCTGTTGATCGTTATTTAGTTCGTTTTTTGATTGTGTGATCTTTAGTTTATAGTTTTGTCCATGACTGTACTGTTATGGTTCATAATCATGGTTTATGTTTAAGAATTTGCAAACAAAGTAGATCTATATTTTAGATATGCTTTTTAGAGCCTTCATCTGATGATAAATGAAGCATTCGAGATCGGATTTTTTCTTTGATACGTGATGCTTCCAATAAATATTTGCGGATGCTATGGAAGAGTTAGTGATTTGATCGTCTGCAGTAAAGATGATCAGTTGATATGATTTTTAGACATAGAATTTTACTCGATCGTAGTATGTTAGTGAATGTAATTCTCTGTCAATCCTGGTTAGACATTTTCCAACAAAGTTAATGGAAGTTTCTTTTATCTAAAAATTACTCCCCCTATCCAAAAAATTACTATCTCAAAATCGTTGTTAGTAATTATTATTATTATTTTCTTACTGCCCCTATCCCAAAATTACTATTCAGTTTGGATTTCATTTTTAATTCAATTTGTACTAAAACTGAAAATTCAAACTTAAAAATAATTTCTAAAAATCCATACTGTATAAAAGGAGTAATAAGTATTAATAATTCACAATCTAAGAAATATTTGTACTCTGTAGTTATTATTATTTGAAGTAATTATTAATTTATGGTCTTATCAAAAGTCTAGGACTGTCAAAACAAATTAGGTTCAAGTTGACGGATTGGGTTGGTTATTTTTTTTACCTTAACCAAAGCCTAAAAGGTCTAATTATATACGTAGAGATCTTTATTCCTTACTTCACCTTTTCATTAATTAGATTATATGCTGATTTGACCAGTTGAAACCTTTTTTTTCTAAAAAAAAATATAATGGTGAAAAATAGTAAATGTGTAATTTAACATTTATCTTGGTGTGAGAAAATTAGAATCTGTTTGATTAAAAAAAAAATTACTCTAGCGAAACACCATAATCACTAAGTGTTATTTAATTCCCCTCCGTTTTAAATTTTAAAAGACAAGAAAATAAAAGTATTTTTAAGTTTTATTCCCTTCATTTAAAAAAGGAAACATGACAAAAAGTAAAATATACAAAAAGAGAGTAGTATATATCTCAAATATAGCCAAATTAATGGGGGATCATCACATCAAAATACAACACCCAAATTATCAGAGATAAAGGCAAATCTTCCTTTCCCCTATCCCTCGAGTATTTTTTTTAAGCTATTTGGAAAAATGAAGAAAAAGAAAAAGAACACTCATAAAAGAAAGATTGATTGCAGGAGACATTATATAAAATGGGGATCATTATGGTTCACGGTTATTAAAAAATACAAAATAAGAAATAAAAAATAATGTTAAAGGAAAGTAAATGCCCCAAATTATCATTTGTCCACTCACATACTCTCTTCCTCTTTTTCTTTTTTTTCCCTTTTACTAACACCTACAAACTAAAAAGACGCACTAAACACCACCCCAACATCAATACTAGTTTTTCTCCAGTAACCCGCTCACCTCACCGAAGCTCAACCGATCCAAATTAAACCCGTCGACGCGCGACCACCGCCTGTCACCTGCCCACCCGCCAGTTTCTATCTTTCATCTCACCATAATTGATGTTCTAACCCATAATCCGTTGTATTTGGTAAATAATTTGCTGGCTCAATGAATTGTTACGATGGAAAGAAGGTAATCCGATCCATTTCTTGCATGCTTGCCAATTTATCAAATCCACTTGATATAATTGTTTGATGGGTGATTTTGACTTGAATGGAGTCTTTTGATTAGAAAAATTACATCATAATCATTTTCGAATTTACTTGAATGGGCACACCATTTGCTGCAATCTTTCGATTTTTTATTCAGGAAAATAAGAAGCAAAGGTATCATTTTTCTTAAGTACAGTAAAGCAACACTGATATCTTAAACCACTTTCGGTTATGTAGCCCCTTCCTTCACATTTTGCGCATTTCAAGTACTTATTTCCCCTCATGTTTGGGGAGTCATGGCTATTAATTTTCTGCAGCTTAGATGAGGCACCACTTTGATATAAATTGAGTTTATTGATTGATTTTTTGCATTCTTCTGAACTAGAATGTGTGTTTAGTCTCTTTGATATTTTAACCTTTTTATTTGCGCTTTTGGGTCTGAAGGCTATTTTGGTTTGCCAAAACTTTTATAATCTCAAAGCATTTAGTTGACATTGTAGTTGATTCATTCTAACTATTCTGAAGACTCTAAAGTATTATGTTTATTGTGCTTGTATACCGATTGATAAATCCTGGATTCATATAAAAGTAGCACGAGTGACTAATGAGGCTTTTAGACAGGGTGTACAAGAATTTCTTGACTTTTCCTACAAAAACAAGCAAGCAATTTGAAAATCAAGTGTCCATGCAGAAAGTGTCGGAACTCCAAAAGCCTGTCGAGGGATGATGTCCACTTGCACATTCTGAGGTATGGTTTTTTTGAAAGTTATTCTAATTGGGTTCATCATGGGAAAAAGAATAAGTATAATCAGCAACATTTGGATACTGTTTTTGAAGAAAGAATAGAGAATGATGATCTGCAAGGTTTGATACATGAGGGAGTCGGGACTTCATATTCCCATATTGGAGCTCATCAAAATTTTTATGGTACTAGTCCAGATAGAGAAGCTGAACAGTTTGACAAACAATTTGATGAGGGTACATAAAAGTTTTTTAAACTATTAGAACATCCTGAGGCTGAGTTGTTCCCTCGGTGTAAAAGTTTCACTCTTTTGTCTTTCATTGTTCGCTTGTTGCATGTGAAATCACTTTACCGATGAAGTAACAATTCTTGACAATGTTGTTAGAGATCCTAAAAGAGGTATTCCAAAGTGAGTTATTTCCAGGTTCTTACCACGAAGTTTGGAAAGAGGCAGCATGTTCTAATAGGCAGATTATAACATTAAAAAGAACTTGGAAAGAGGCAGCATGTCCTATTAAAAAGATTAATGCTTGTCCTAATGATTGTATGCTTTATTGGAAAGAGGCAGAAAATGATGACAAATGCAAGCATTGTAACTTCTAGATATAAGCACTTCAATGGGCAAAATGAGGATTTATGTAAAAGTGAACAAAAGATTCCAGCAAAGGTTGTTCGCTACTTTCCTTTAATACCAAGGCTGCAAAGATTTTTATGTCTTCAGAGACTGCTTCTTTAATGAGATGGCATGCAGAAGAACGCACTGATGATGGAAAACTTTGGCATCCAATTGACTGTCGAGCATGGAAAGGTTTTGATGAAAAGAACCCAAGTTTTGCGCTGATTGTCGCAATGTACGACTAGGACTTGCTGTTGATGGGTTCAACCCATTCAAATCAATGAGTATTGCTCATAGCACCTGGGCGGTTGTTCTGATTCTCTATAATCTTCCACCATGGCAATGTATGAAACAACCTTCATTCATATTATCCACACTCATTGATGGTCCTCGAGCTCCCGGAAACAACATTGATGTGTATTTGCAGCTGCTCATTGATGAACTTCAAGAATTATGGGATCCTAGGGTTCCAACATATGATGCAATAGAAA